GAAAAATTGATTCAATGCTCATAACCTTAAAAAGAAACACAGATTTATTTATTACCAAAAAGGCGGAGAAAGGAACAAAAACATGTTCAAACAAGATTCTACAAAATGTAAGGTACAATAGTGGTAGATAACAACTTCCACTGCCCTATTACTTCTTGAATGTTGGATGTGTAATCGGACCAGGATCTTTGTCTATATTTGCCCCCATTCGTTAATCATTTCTTGGACATCTTCTTTGGATAAACCTTCAGATATGCAAATTTCTACTTTCTTTTGAATAGTTTCTCAGACAAATTCCATCATCATCTTTTCCTGGCAATTGGGCTCAATTTGAATTTCAGAACAAATTTCTTTGGTGATAATAGTTGCATCCTGGTTCTGGACATTCCTTGCAGCTGTGATTGGAGTAGTATTCACTAGACTTTTTAAATTAACCCCTGCTTCCCTTGATTTCAAAAGATTTGATATAGGTGTCTGAGGTATTTTCAAGGTTGTATCGGCCATATTCCTTTTTAAACCTGTAGTCCAGTCTCAGATTACATTTCCTTTCACTTTTTCATTTCTCATTTTGGTTCCACTTATCAAAGAAGTGTCGAGAATTAAATCGGTCATACATATTTCACCTTTCTTAGCTTTGCCTTTTTTCTTTTTAATGCCTCCCGCTATATGAACATCACCTATTTTGGAACTATCAACTTTATCATGGGGGTTGGCTCCCAAATGTTTGATCAAAATGGATTGACTGTTAGCATCCACTTCTATAATTCCATGAGTTACAAGATCTTGAACTCGTCGTTTGAAGTTGCCACAATTTTCAATGGAATATCCTCAGATTCCAGCATGATACTCACAAAAGACTTTTTTATTATACCATCTTGGGTAAGGAGGTACCAAAGGTTTAGCCAAACATGGGGTAATAATTTGAGCTTTGTGTAACTTGGAATATAACTTGCTACATGAAACTGAAGAAAAATGGGGTAGAAATTCCCTTGATATCATTGTCTCCTTACTATTTCTTTCCCGAAGATCTTGTGACTAATAATCAAAATGTTTTCTTTAAATGTTTGATTTTTTACTAATATCCTGAGAGAGATGATGATTTGAGATTTTTTCTTTCTCAACCAATTTTGAGTTTCTGAGGAGCTTAGGTTTCCCATCTTCAAAACATAACAACCCTTCTGCCATAAGGTCTTAGACTTTTTATTTCAGAATTATGCAATTTTGTGTAGAGTGACCAAAATCTCCAGAATGATAATTACATTGATTCTTGACATTTTGCCAATTTGGATGCAAATAAGTACTAGGAGGAATGGGTGTTACAAGACCTCTTTAAAAGAGAAAGGGTAATAATTCTGAATATGAGATTGGAATGAGATGTGTCATCCTCTTTTCTTTCTTGCCTTTTTTATCCTTTTCCAATGGGACTTGTTCCATGTTTCTTTTCTTTGAACCAATTTCCATTTTCATATCTTTTGTCATATTTCCCGATCCATGAAGCTGAGCTAGACTTTTAAATTCCGTAACAGGTTCTCATTCATCGATCATCATAGCAGTAATTGTATCATTAAGATCCAAACTTTTTCCCAAGGCTTTCATCTTTTCATGCTCAATAGGGTCTTCTAATATATTATCTCCATACAGTAGAGTAACCATCAACTTTGTCATTTGTTCCCTAGACTCAGCTTGGAACATTCTTATTTCCTTAAACATTTCTTGTTGAATCTCTACAAGTTGTTCTTGGATTCTCTCAATCTTTCTAACTCGAGCTAATATTCCATTCATTGCTTCCAATCTTTTAGAGACCTGCCTCAATTCTTGAATGAACTTTTAGAACTCCTGATTCCAAAATCCTTCACTAATTATTCTCATGTCTTTATGATTGACACATGTTATGTAGAACATGAATGTAAATACAAAATTAAAAATGCATATGCATATGTATGTATGAAAAGGTGTAATTCGGGTTTGCTTTTGGGTCTGTTGGGTTTGCTTTTGGGCCTGTTAGGCTATTCGGGTCAATTATGGGCCTGAACCGGGTGGATCTGCTTGGATTTTGTAATCGGGCCTTGGGGTTAAATCCATTTTTCATTTGGGCCTGTAAAATTATAATAATTAATTGTAATATAATAATAATATAATAATAATAAAAATATTTTAATACTTATAACAAATCGGGACTCGGACGAAAACGTCTATCAACATCAAGGTTTCTCAGGTTGTCCTTCGGTGATTCAACTACCTTCTCTCTTCGGTTTTGACTTGAAACCCAAAGATTTGATGGATTTAATTCCTGGGTTTTCTTTGGCAAAATGAGATTTATCTTCTTTTTTTTATCAGAAGAGGATTTGAATATTTTTATAATGCATACAATCAGCAGGGGTAGAACGACGGGCGACGCTATAAGCAAAACGGTGGCGAAACGATGATTGGCGACTATAATCTAAATTGGTCCGGTGCATGGTTTTCAGAACCGAATCGGTTAGCGAATTAATCATGTTATCGGTTTACTGGTTCAACCGGTCGAACCGGTTCGACCGGTCGAAAGAACCGGATGACGTCATAATTATTTAAAAAATTAAATAAAAAATACCAAAAATATTTAATAAAAAATAATTTTGTATATCACAAGTCATATTCAAAGCAAGTCATAACATATATGAGTTAAAAACCATAAAATCAAGTGAAACAAAATGATTCAAATTAACTACAACATAATATTTAAGGTAAACCATATTAAATAATAAATATAATTATATAACTATAATTAAAAAATAAATTTGGGGCTAAAAAATCATAACAAAATGATATTGTTTGGTTTAATTTTTTTTAAAAAAACAATCTCACATGGCTAAGAAACATAGAAGAACATCCCAAAAGTCTAAAGAGTAAAAATATGAGAACAAAACAATCCAACATGGCTAAGAAACATATAAGAACATCCCAACTAACTTCTATAAATAATAGAGGTAATTTGACATTCAAAATCATGGAGCCTTTTGGTGAGCATAGAGTGAATTATTCTTTCACTTCAATCAAACTCGAATTTTAGGCTTCAATCGAGCTTCTAATTTTTTTTTGAGTTTAAGCCTTTTCGAGTTCAAGTTTCAATATTATATTTCGAGTTCGAGTTGAACTTGATAATTTTTAGTTCGTGAGTTTGAGTCGAGTTGAACTTACTTTTAAAGTTTGAGTCGAGCTCAGCAATACTCGAGTTCGACTTGGCTCGTTTAACAAACGACGTCGTTTGGTTTAATTTAAAAAAACAAAATTGGCGGTTTTTTTCCGATTTTTCCCGGTTTTCAGCCGGTTTGGTTCGAACGGTTCAACGGTTCTGATCAATTCAATAGTAGCAGTTCAACCGATTTAGTTTAAACCGGACTAGACAACGATTCTCGATTAAACCGATCGATCCGATCCGGTTCTCAAAACAATGGTCCAGTGGCAGTTGAGAGATAAAGATGATGGTGGCTTAAGGAAATGGGTTAAAAAAGAAAAGGATTGTGGTTGTATAAGTCGGTTTAAGGAGTGAATTTTTATTTAAAAAAAAAGGAAAAGTAGGTGGATAATATTTGGTTTCCACATCAACAAACAACAATTTACATTAGGGAGGGAAGTTATGTCGTACGACAACCTTGATATATGGTTAAGTAAAGATGTTATCGGAAATGGTTTTATTTTTTTAATATTTTCGGTAAAATATTATCTAAAATATTATTTTTTTATCTAAAAAATTAATGTTTTTTAACATTTTCGGTAAAGTGTTCAATATTAACATTTTCTGTAGAAAAAATAATGTTTTAGGTATCGATTTACCGAATATGTTAACAAATTAGGTAAAACGTCCAATAATAACATTTTCGATAGAAATAATAATGTTTTAGGTAATTTTTTACCGGAAATATTAAAAAAATAACATTTCCGATAACGTATTTCCTTAGTCGTATGTTAGACTGTCGCACGTGAGACTTCCCTTTTACATTATCAAAATGTCACCCACATCATCTTGCTGTTTTTAATTTAACACTCAGTGATCAAAATAGGAATGATGTCAAAGTTTAGTAATTAAATTGGAAATTTTTAAAGTTTAATGAGCAAAATAGGAGAGAGAGTAAAGTTTAGTGATGAAATTTATAAATTACGTTAAAAATAAATGTTAGGTATAATTTAAAAAAATTGAGGTATTAAATTAGAACAAAAAAGCTAGTTTAGGTACTAACATATAGTTTACCCAAAAATTATAATTTTATTAAAATTATAATTATTTTAGTAAATGATTAATTTTAAATAAATCTTTGTATTTTTTAATATTTATATAATAAAAACAAATTTACTTGTGTTGTATTTCGATGTAACTTTAATGGTACTTTACAGTATGCGACGTACGCGTAAAAGTTTATATAATATTTTATATTAAGTGTAATATAGTAGTTATTTTCCCTTTTTATTATATATACTAATTTATCATCATTATATATTAATATATTTTAAAGAGATTTTTTATATAAGAAGATCATAATTTAAATTTATATTCGAGTTCGTAGTTTCCATTATTATAGACAACGTAGAATTGAGTAGATATCGATTTCAAGTGCTGTAGGGGTGCTCATCATTCCCCACGCGTAATCTACTCTTAAACTATTTTCAAATAAATTTTTGATTCCACGCAAACTGATTTTATCTTTTAAAAGATTTTTACCTTGAAATCTCTTTAAAAATACATTTTGAGATATTCAACCTACCTAACTCAAAAGATTGAATTTTTCATTTTTCACTGAAAGTCGATATTAGCTCCTTTTTCCCAAGCTTAAAGGACGATTCCACCAGTCGAGATACTTAAAATGGTAAAATTTATAATGTTAAACATTTAAATTAATTAAAAAATAATTTAGACAAAAATGATATAATTTAAATATTTACTTATATATTAAGCCCCAAAATAAAAAGTATAATTTAGATTTTTTTTATATTAAGTGTTTTTTATTTAAACCTTAATAAAACAGAAACAAGGTCTGGTTTAGTTTCCTAGGGCACAATAAGTGGTCGCCGGTGAACCGAAGAGTAAGATGATGGAGAATCGCTGCAAATTCTGGGTTGCCAAAAAGAACAGATTCTGTTCAAACTCTCCTTTCAAAAATTCCTTGTTAGTTCCATCCCTCCCTCTCTCTCTACCCCTTTCTTTTCTTTCGTTGAATACGTAATTTTATCAGTTCTTTTTCTTTCTTTCTAATAATCTAATTGTTTCAAGGTTTTGTGGCAATCACACTCCAAGGACCAATGACCAGTGGATTCCATGTCCGATTGACCCTTCTCAGTAATACCCCCTCTCTCTCTCTCTCTCTCTCTCTCAATGCTTTACTCCTCCAGGGGAAAAAACAAAATTTTAACATTTTTTTGGCTTTATTTTGAAGTTGTGTGCTTCAGGAAAACATGGGAGGACATCTAAAGAGATGTCCTATACTCAAACAAGCTCAATCATTGAGCACCCAACCTTTTTACCAAAAGGGTGTCAATGCAGGCAAAGAAGATGAACAACAAGGACAGGAAACCGTGGATGTAACCTCTGAAATGAAGAGAAATGCTGTTTATAGCTTGAACATATCCGAATTCTTCCAGGTTATTAGAAAGATTGAGTCGGTTCATGCACGAATCTGTAATGATATTAAAGAATCTTATAAGATACCTGAAGCTTGTGGCTTATGGATTAAGGGAGAAGTAGACAGGTGTGTCAAGTTCAATTGAGCAGGTTGTTTTCCGTTGGAATTGTTTGGGTTTTAAGTTGAGTTAATTTTTGACAGGAATGTGCCATTTCAAGAGAAGCATGTAACACAACAGGCGTCGATTCTTGGGAACTTGGAAGAGTTTGGGGTTTTGGAAAGGGTTGTTGTCAAGGGAGAAAAGTTTGAATTAGTGGAGCTATCTGAAAATAGCAATGGTGTTCCTGCAGTGGTTGAGTTTGGAGCAGGGAGAGGATACTTGACACAAATGCTTGCAGATTGCTATGGTATTAGAAGGGTATTTCTTGTTGAGAGAAAGGCATACAAACTTAAGGTTAGTTGAATCGGGATTAAATTTTTAGTATCTGCAATGATTTTATATGCTTTAGGTTCATGCCATGTAATCTGGATGTGTTTCTATGTTCTTTGATTGGAACCTTCTTTGATTTTCTAGGCTGATCGGTCTTTGAGACAGAAAGAGAACTTGATATTAGAACGTTTGAAAATCGACAGTAAGGTTTTCGGGAACTTTATTATTGCTGATGCTTTTTTTTTTTTAGTTTCTCCATTGAGCTCCATTCTGCATTGCTTTCCTTTCATTGACTTTCTTTTTCTACAATTTTATCCACATGAAGAACTATTAGCTTATGACCTTTTACATAGTGATCATTATTCTGAACATTTTGTTGAATTTTGTTACTTGTACGAATTTTGATAATCACTAGTGAAAGTGGGGTAAATCGAAAGCATGTTTTCATACGAAACCACAACCTTTTGAGTGCGCTTAACTTCCCTAACCTTCACTTTGTCACCGTATCATGAATTTTTACTTCTGCAGTTGAGGATCTGAACTTGAATGCTGTCAAGTCATTGCAAGGACTTCCTTATATAGCTATTGGTAAACACCTCTGTGGCCCTGCAACTGGTAAGTTATTACATCTCTGCAATTTCTCGTAAACTTGACCGTTGAATGTCACAATGATTTAGCTAAATGCTAGACCAGCACAAAGCATTCTTTACCGTCTCTCACTGTTGAAACTTTTCAATGCAGATTTGACGCTCAGATGCTGCCTGGTGAATGAAAGGAATGTCGAACAATGTGGAAGTAATTGTCACCTGAAAGGTCTTGCCCTAGCAACATGCTGCCACCATCTTTGCCAATGGAAACACTACATAAGTAATTTAACTTTCTGCCTTACATCAAACTAAATCTACGTATAAATTCATCATACCCTTCCTTTGTAAACTGACTGTTTAACGGGTGTGTCCCTGCAGATAAGAAATACTTAACAAGTTTGGGTATCGGCAAGGAAGAATTCCATGCAATCACATGGTTTACCAGCTGGGCGGTGGATGCTGATCATGGTTCAGATCTTTCTGACGTTATCGATTTCAAATTGCATCCAGAATCAATGTAATATAGCATATTTTCTTGTTTCCATTTCTTTAGAGCCTATCCGACCATGGATATGTTTCTACCTTCGTAACATTTCGGATTCACAAAGAAAACTGCATTTGATCATTTTCCACATTTGTCTTCTAAAAGCACATTCGGTTTCCTTGTGGCAGTGAAAAGGAAGAATGTGCTGAGGATGCAAACGGAGTCGAAGCCATTGCGAGGAGTATGAAAGCTATCGAGAGAGCAAAGTTAGGTTTTATGTGCAAACAGATAATTGATATGGGAAGGTTGATGTGGCTCAAGGAACATGGACTCGAAACTCAGCTTGTTAAGTATGTTCCATCAAGCGTATCGCCAGAAAACCATTTACTAATTGCCAGACATGTCGATCATTTCTAAGTTGCCATGGCATTTGAATGGCTCTTGTGGTTATTACTTCAGCTTTTTGAATCCTGACGTTTGTTACCAAACTCTTTTCTCCATTATCTCGATACCACACCAATTAGGGGTGTTTAGATTAATCTTTAACTGTTAACAGTTATTGTTAATCGGTGTAACTGTTATCTTTTACAGATTAGTTAATCGTACTGTTAAAGTTAAATAGTTTTGATTAATCGAACAACTAAAAATAATGGTTAACTAATTTAGTTATGGTTATGAATTTTGATAAATTATAACTGTATTTTTTTTTAGAAAATAGAATTAAAAGTAAAATTAAAATGAGACCATTGTTTTTTGGAATTGAATGAATATTTTTAAACTAAGGGAGCCAAAGAAGAATTTTATAATTGTACTTACTGAAATTGCACAATTATGAGGGGATAAGAATTAATGGTAGTTCTGTTGTGCGGCGGTTAAAATATGGCTAAAAAACGGCGTGACCGGTTAAAATTTTGACCGGTAATGTTATATCATTTAACCGGAAATATTATCAAGTACAATAACATATTAGGTAGCGCTTATATAATGTAATAGGTAGCACTTATATAATAAAATAGACATTTAACCAGAAATATTATCAAGTACAATAACATATTAGGTAGCTCTTATATAATGTAATAGGTAGCGCTTATATTGACCTATTTTCGAAGTAAACCGATATATTTATACCGGTAACATTGTAAATTTACCTATTACATTATTATTATCGCTTACGATGTTTTTTAGATCGATACAATTTTAAATGTATCGACACTTTATGCTTGCACCTGGTTGGGCATTCATATTTCATTCTGGAAAAAAGTATCGACACAAACTAACAACGTGTCGATACATTATTTAGACCTATTCTCTCATAAAACCGGTATATTTATACCGGTTACATTAAAAATTTATCTATTACATTATACTTATGGGTTTCAATGTTTCCGGGATCGATACTTTTTATAAATGTATCGACACTTTATGGTTGCACCCTTTTTGGTATTCATTCTGAACCAAAAGTATCAACACAAATTTAGCAAGTGTCGATACTTGATGTTGACCTATTTTATCATAAAATCGGTATATTTATATCGGTTACATTGTAAATTTACCTAATACTTTATAATTATCGGTTTCGATGTTTTTGGGATCGATACTTTTAATAAATGTATCGACACTTTATGCGTGCACCTCGTTTGTGCATTCATCCTGGACAATAAGTATCAACACAAATTACACAAGTGTCGATACATTATGTTGACCTATTTTCTAATTAACCGGTATATTTATACCGGTTACATTGTTAATTTACCTATTACATTATAATTATTGGTTTTGATTTTTTTGGGTCGATACTTGTATAAAATGTATCGACACATATTTAGGTAGTTATTGTACATACCTAAATATGTACTGCGAATTTAATGTTGTACCCACCCTTTAACTACCACTACCAATACCACATCCTATTGAAAGCAACACGACTGAAACATGTTCAATGAACCTTTGCTTACATCTCCATCAACTCCGAGACCACTGAACTTGCACACCAAAATTTTTGCCATGGATCATACTGATGCTGACAATGTTAAGCCAATCGAGGAATGCCATGAATTACATAATGTTGATGAATCTGACAGATTGGTTGGCCATCTCTTCTGTTCATGTGATCAAGCTTGGTACTTTTACAAGGGATTCGCATGGGAACATGGGTTTAGTGCACGTAAGGGAACAACACGGCTTGACGTGGAAGGGAATGTGAAGACAGAAGAATTTTGTTGTTCCAAAGAAGGTTTTCGAGCATCAAAAGTCAATATTGTTAATCGTTAACGTGCTCATACGACAGTCACAAGAACAAGATGTAAGGCTAGAGTCGTAGTTACAACAACAAATACAAACGATCAGTGGGTTATAAGTAAGTCTTATCAGGAACATAATCATGCATTGTGCACACCTGTTATGACACCATTTATGCGTTCTAATAGAGCTGTAAGTAAGGCTGATATCGATGAGGCAACAACATTGAAAGAAGACAGTGTTGACACATCACAAGTAATGAACTATTTAACGCAACAGGCAGGGGGCTATCATAGTGTTGGATTTACACATAAAGACCTCTACAATGCACTTCAAAGAGGTAAAGCAAAGGAAATCGTCGATGGGGATGTGAATGCGCTTATTGCCTACTTTGATTATAAGAAACATGATGATCCCGGGTTTTTTATGACATACTCGGTAGACGAATCAGGGGCATTGTATAATCTTATTTGGTCGGATTCTACATCGAGATCAGATTACACATGCTTCGGTGATGTAATTGCGTTCAACACAACGTACAAAGATAATTTGTATGGTCGCCCAATTATGCTATTGTCGGTGTCAATCATCACCATAAAACAATTGTGTTTGCCACTGCCATAATCGCCGACGAGACGTCTCAATCTTTCGAGTGGGTGCTACAGAATTTTTTAGAAGCCATGATGAATAAATCACCTATTTCAGTTGTCACCGATGGGGATAGGGCAATGCAGAGGGCTATCAAATCTGTTATCCCTTATGCTAAGCACAAATTATGTTTTTGGCATCTTTCTCGCAATGCACAAGCTAACATTGGTGACCCAAAATTTATAGCAGCATTCTCAAAATGCATGGCTTCTTGGTGGACAACCGAGGAATTTGATATTCAATGGCATTCGGTTGTTTCAGAATTCAACGTCGAAAAACATCCATGGGTGATTGAGAAGGGAAATACACGACACTTATGGGCACAAGCATATCTAACCGGTCATTTCTTTGCCAATATTCGCTCAACACAAAGGTGCGAGTCTATGAATGCTTCACTAGAGATTGCACTGAAACTCAAGAAGACATATTTAGATGTTCGTACAATTAAAGATGGAATTAGTAGAATGCATATGAACGAGTTAAAAAGTGGATTACTTAAGTTCTCATACGAAGCCCTTCCAGATCACAAAACTGTTCGACCTTGAAAGCCATACTGTGCGATTTTTACCCGTGAATCTTTTTGTGCGTTCCAAGATAAACTTCTACGGGAGACATTGTACCGGATTGAGGCAGAGATTCAGTCCTTATCAGATGAATGTCAACATTATATTTTGTCAAAGTACAAATAAAAAAATAGGAAATTTGAAATTAGTTTTGATTCTCGTACGAAAACCCTAATTTGCTCCTGCAAAAAATTCGAGACCGTTGGACTTCCGTGTCGCCATCAACTTCACATTTTGAAACAATTGGATTACACATATTTTCCCGAGACTTTGATTCAAAGTAGGTGGACTAATGATGCGAAGGCTTCTGCACCTAGTTATGTTGACTTGAATGTGTCTCCAGAAGTGATGCAAATGGCACAGTTTGCTGCTCTATGTTCAACGTCAAGTAGGTTATGCTACATTGCATCAAAGACAGACAAGTCTTTCAAAACCGCAAGAGATGAGATGAAAAGACTAATAGAAGAATTAGAGAAAACTCGTTTGGTTTGAATGATTCAGTCAACCAGAGCATTGTAGTAAACAACGTTCGTGACCCTGAACGAAAACAACGCAATCGAAAAGAAGTACCGAAGAACAAGGTCGAGAAGATAATTAGGCGATGTGGGTACTGTAACGGTGAGGGACATAACAAACTAACATGTCCTCAAGTCAAGCTTAGTTTGAGTATAATGTAAATTATACAAAATTAACCCTATATTTACAAAATTTACTCTCTTAGTCTATTTTTATTGTGGATTACGCGACCGTTTAATATTTCATCCGCATCATCACATAAATACCAAACAATCTGTAGAGTATAGTCTCCCGCAATCATGGCCGGAATCAATTCTGTAACTAGGATTATCCAGGTTAATCTTGTTGACAGCATAGCCAATAAAACCTGAGGTTTATTTACAAAGTGTCGATACATGTTGTAGACCTATTCTCTCATAAAACTGGTATATTTATACCGGTTATAGTACAAAATTACCTATTACATTATAATTATGGGTTTCGATGTTTTCGGTATCAACACTTTTAATAAAGGTATCGACACTTTGTGCGTTCATCCTTTTTGGAATCCATTCTGAAAAAAGTATCGACACAAATTTAACAAGTGTTGCTACATGTTATAGACCTATTCTCTCATAAAATCGGTATATTTATACCGGTTACATTGTAAATTTACCTATTACATTATAATTATGGGTTTCGATGTTTTTGGGATCGACACTTTTTTAAAATGTATCGACACTTTATGCGTTCACCCTTTTTGGCATCCATTCTGGACAAAAATTATCGACACAATATTAAGAAGTGTCGATACATATTATAGACCTATTCTCTCATAAAACCGGTATATGTATACCGATTATATTACAAAATTACCTATTACATTATAATTATGGGTTTCGATGTTTTTGGGATCGGCACTTTTAATAATTGTATCGACACTTTATGCGTGCAACCCTTTTGGATCGACACTCTATGAAAATGTATCGACACTTTGTAGGTTCACCCTTTTTGGCATCCATTATGGAAAAAAAGTATCGACACAATACTAATAAGTGTCGATAAATGTTGTAGACATATTTTTCATAAAACCAGTATATTTATACCAGTTACATTGAAAAATTACCCATTACATTATAATTATGGGGTTCAATGTTTTTTGGGTCGTTACTTTTTATATATGGTTAGACACTTTATGGGAAACTTTAAGTTTGGATACATTATAGAAAATAATTATAAATATACCGATATTTCTAAGTATGAAAACTTTGTTGTGGAGATCATAGAAAACATTTCTTTAATAATGTGTTTTGATACATTTGCACGCAGATGTAAAATACATTAATAACTAGTATTGATATTTCAATAATCCTCAAATGTATCTGTATACAAAGAAGCAAATATGGAATAATTAATGAAAATATACACACAATATAATCAAACCAAAAGATACATACACAACAATGTTCAAATAATGTACCGACA